AAAAAAGGAAAAAAGGATTCCGTGAGGTTTCCTTGGCAATCAACAAGAAAGAAAGGAGCTAACCTCAAAAGCTGTTGCATGAGAAATTAAATTAAGGCAGGCAAATTTCATTAAGTGCATTTTTTTTGTGAAAATCTCTTCACTTCAGACAACTAAGATAAGTAAACTCTAGAAGTTTGAACTACAAAAAGTTTAATGTTAAAACTTAAAAATTTGCGTCATTAACATGACGAAAGGATGATCTTGTGTGAGTATAGTTAATTAAAATATATACAGCAGGAAGAACTAATTGGTCTGTTTGGTAGCCTTCACAACAAAGCTCCCTATCTCTGCCTCGCTTCCCCTATATAAATAATCTGTAGACGACAAAGCTTCCTTGAATCTAGCAGTCTTATGGTAGATACAAAACATAGAAGCACAAGTAAGGTAGGAAGTCTCTGCAAATATGGGAAAAGAGCTGGTTTTAAAGATTTTTTTCCTTTTGAGAAATCAATGACGTGTTTGGTTTGCGTCTCAAAAAACAGTATCTGAAAATAGTTTTTGAAGACAGATTTTCGAAAATTGTTTTTAGTGTTTTTTGTGTCGAAGAACTTTTTTGGTTATATAATTCTAAAAATTGTTTTGCAAAACAAAAAACATGTTTGGACAGTAAGACAGAAAATAATAAAAACAGAGATGATGTTTATATTGAATGTTTCACTGCCAGAACATTATATTACAAATTATAACATAATACAGACCATTGTTCGTACATAGAAGCTCCATATTATATTACAATGAGAGAGCTAAACATTTCTCCATCATATTGATCACAATAAAAACAACACGACCAAAACACAAAATGACATTACACCCACAACATAAACAAATAAGCCAACCCTTACGATAGACAATTGGCTGCAACCGGTGTTGGTATTCATCAACTCAAATAAATGCATTCCTATGGTCTTTACCAAATGGATACCTATAAAAATAACTACCATCATTCCTTGTTGTACGAGCTCTGAAAACACTTATATGGCCAGCACCACATGCGCATAAAGGACCTGTAGCATTATCCATGTGCTCGTCCAATTCATCATCTACACTGCTTGATGAGCTTAGTGAGTCATCACTTGATTGGGCAGCTGTATTTTCCATTGTAACTACAAACATAATACAAACTCATAATTACAATGCATAAATATGACAACAGTAATAGGATAATGATCCACATCATCATGCAACATCATACCACTTGAATAATAGACATTTCCCAACAATAACATATTGAAAACATACAAAATTAAACATGCAGCCCATGCACCACATCATACGACAATATTAATAATATTGTCCCATAATAATAAGTCTAATAAAGCAGAAACACACAAACAGTTACATGCCCAAATTGTCTCGGTAGAGACACACAAAAAGTTAAGTCAACCTTGGACATCCATGCCCAAATAATTTCATACATAACTAAACAAACGTCAATAAGCTTAATCTAGTGTGTTAAGCCACTCCTTCCTTCGTTGTGTAGACATCTTAATAAACATTTGACGGCACTCAGGGTCCTTGAACTTTTCACAAGCATGAAAATATTGTTGGGATCCAACACCCTCTATACCCTTTAACACATCCATGCAAGTGTCAATGTTATAAGCGTCATTCACAGTGTGCACTTGACAAGTACGCTTGTATTTCTTCGTCCTAGCCCGTGAGAATGCAGCCCATGCATCCATAGCATTGTCCATCTTTGAACTCTTACTCCCTTTCTTCTGTCCTGAACTACTTCCAATTTTTTTAGGTGGCAAGGGAAATGGACCTTAAAGATCATCGTCAAGACTAGCAGATGATCTTTTTTGACCAGTGATAAACTCCTCCTCCAACTCTCTCTTCTCATCAAAATTCGGTGGGACTTGGGTCGAAGCACGGGCTAAAAGTCCCGTGGCTGTCGATTTTCCAAAGATAAGTCCCAATAAGTTGAACTGCTCACTCCCTTTCTTGCGAAAAGCTCTCGCTTGCAGGTTCGCCTAAAAAAAAAATTTATCATTAAGGCTAGCAATAAATAACTAGCCTAAAAAGTATATACAACTATGTCAAACTATGCATACCGCAATATATCTCGCCCAGACATCTTTCTCAGTTGTCACAGTGTTGGTTTCTGAGTCCCAATCAAATCCAGTAGTGGTCAGAAGTTTTTTGAAAGTCCGATATTTATTCCTCAACCTATTGTACTTTCCCTTAAGATTTGTAACAGTATAAGTACGACCCATTTTTTTGGTCATTAGACCCGCCAATTTATTCCAAGTCTTTGCTCTGATGGTTGTATCATTCGGGTTGTCCTTTTCTACCTCAACGGCCAAGAATTTAATAAATAATTCCTCAACCCTCGGTTGCCAAGTGGCCATATGGTCAACGTCATTACCTTGGGATGACATCTAAGATAATATACATCATACAATAATTAATCATGTATAAAAGGAATTACTCAAATTATGTTGCATAAATCATACATAACTCATACATTACATAAATTAAAAACATACAACCATTGCATATGCTTGTAAAAATAGTACCATTCATGCTGTTACATTCCACATTGCTCTCATTTTTAAGGAATACGATACACCTGGTCTGATGATACGTTTGACAAATCGATGATGTCGTTTTTGCCGATTGAGGATTTGATGAGGGTTGAAGATTCCTACTCAATACCCAGCANGTTTTTGCCGATTGAGGATTTGATGAGGGTTGAAGATTCCTACTAAATACCCAGCTTATCTATTGTATTTAATAAATACGAAGAGACAAAATTAAACAAGCATGATGGAAAATAAAGATCAGCTATTATTGTCAACGCCAAAAACAAGATAAATGAGTCACCGAAAATAGCAGACCAAGCCAGACCAAAATTATTGCTCCTTTTGGATTGCTAAGAAAAGAAAGAGCAATCAATTCAACATAGCTGAAATTGAAAATACAGACGATCAATTCAATTAATGCTCCATTTAATTTTTGAGAAAACCAATTGACATTTGAAACGTAGGTAGTCACTAATTTACTTGTTTTTGGGTCATTAAAGTACTTGATATTTGGCATAGTTTCGGTACCAAGTTCTTGATAGTTTTAGAAACTGAAAATTCAAGGAACACAAAATTAAGAACACAGTCACCAAAAACAGAATGTCCAAGCCAGACCTTATTTTTCTTTCAAGAAACTATTTTTAAACAACATCAAAAATAAAAAAGACAAAAGGAGATGTTTCCCCGACACAAAAGTAAAACCACAAAACTTCTAAGAATTGATAAATAGCAATGAACTCCAAAATATAAATATGCAATACATTATACATGGATATCACAGATTGACGATCAGTTTACTTGGTAATAACAAACAAGCATCAATTAACCAAATACTCATGCTATTGGCAGTATTACAGATAATTATCGCTTGATCATGAACCTTAGTGAAACAATAAACATTAACTAATCACCAGTTCTCAACTCAGATTCTCAAAGAACCAATCAAATCATCCATAAACAAAGATCAAATAACATTCAAATTGATCAAAAGAACTTCACGTCAAAATTGCAACAAAAATAATCAAATAAACAATACGCACTTCTAAAGACCATGGAAACGATAACCTTCAATTGACATTAATCCCTTAGATAACAAACAATCATGCATCAATTAACCAAATGCTACTTTTTTTTTTGATATTTACCGAATGCTACTTGAATTATCCATCAACAACACTCATTACCAATCAAATACCAATAAAATTGATCAAAGAGACTCCACTAGACACCAAATACAAGAATACCCAAATATGGACCTAATTATAAATTTTGAACTGGGTAAGTACCAAAAATGTCCACTTGTAAAACTCCGTCTAAGGTTGTGGGAGTTCACTTTCACTCTTCATCATTCTTTTCGTTCTAACCAAACAAGTCCATGTAAAAAATTATAAGCAATCACCGAAAACAGAATGCCCAAGCCAGACCAAGTAGTCACCAGAAATAATTTTAAGGCAAAAAAAATAATAAAATCAGATGTAGGAGATCTGAGTCCCCAGAACATCATGATGGGTTCACCGGAATTATTAGACAACAAATCTGTTATAGATCTAAAGGTAAAAAGGAAAAATGCAAACAACTCTAACAAATACAAACCCTATTAAAAAATCAAGGCAAAAAAATAGAAAAAAAAAAATAGATCTACCGTTACCTATCGCCGGAGAAGCCAGACTTGTGATTTGCCGAAGCTACGCCGGATGTGTCGCCAGTGTTTCACCAGAGCTTAACTGAAGAAGATGGCTGAGCAGGGCAGACAAATGACGGGAGAGGCTGAAAAAAAAAAAAATAAAGCACAATTTGTACTTAGACCATTAAGGAACAGTGATCTTACCTCTGTGTTTTCTAAATTTCTTGGAAACTTCTCAGAAAACAAGCCTGGCTTGTTTTCTGTTTTTTGTGTTTCAAATCTCATTTTTTTCAAAAATTTTGAGAATAAAAATGCTAAGTAAACAAGTTTTAGGTGTTTTTAAAATTTTGAGAACAAAAAATTGTTTTGCAGATGATAGCCAAACATGGCCCAAGACTTCCTTTTGTTTTTTAAAATAACTTCTTTAACTTTTTTAAGAGTAACCCCAATATGGTAATGGTAATGGTAATGATAATTGCTAATGCATGAAGACAATAGGCATTGTTAAATAGCAGGCAATATGCATTACATGGAGGTGTTGTAAGAGTGTAGGAAATAATTTGAGACAGTGCTTCAAAGAGTTAAATGGGAAAATATATATGTCGAGGAACCCATAATTGTTGGACAGAACTCGATGATTATTGTTTACTTGGGAGACATGGGTCATCTAGTTACTGAAAAGACACCCAATATTAACTTAATATTTGTGTAAAGACCAGAGTAGATTTCTTTGGGCTAACTGCTAATGGATTTGTTATAAAAGCAGAGATCCATGTTCGCTTGCATGTTTAAGGAGGGGGGTATAGCTTCGTGGCTTTACTAGTATATAGAGGCAATGTTCATTTCAAAATCCGTTGGGGTAGATTCTCCAGGTTGGGTTCTTGGTAGGATATAATTCATGCATTAGATTAAGAGTTGTCTGTTGAGTTGTGAGGGAAGACAAGATTGNTGTTGTAAGAGTGTAGGAAATAATTTGAGACAGTGCTTCAAAGAGTTAAATGGGAAAATATATATGTCGAGGAACCCATAATTGTTGGACAGAACTCGATGATTATTGTTTACTTGGGAGACATGGGTCATCTAGTTACTGAAAAGACACCCAATATTAACTTAATATTTGTGTAAAGACCAGAGTAGATTTCTTTGGGCTAACTGCTAATGGATTTGTTATAAAAGCAGAGATCCCTGTTCGCTTGCATGTTTAAGGAGGGGGGTATAGCTTCGTGGCTTTACTAGTATATAGAGGCAATGTTCATTTCAAAATCCGTTGGGGTAGATTCTCCAAGTTGGGTTCTTGGTAGGATATAATTCATGCATTAGATTAAGAGTTGTCTGTTGAGTTGTGAGGGAAGACAAGATTATTCTTTAGATATATTAGTGAGTAGGATGCATTAGCTAAAATGGGGAGCAAAATGCTTATGGTGGTTTTATCCTCCCCGAGTCTGTTAGGGTGGGAGGTCAGATTCTGTGTTTGGGATCCCCTTTCTTTCTTTCTTCTTATCTCCCAGACTTTTTTTTTGTTCCCTCTAGGATACTTTCCTAGTAGAGAAATTTATTCCCTTTACTCTTTTGTGTTTTCTATTGTAAAAGTTCTGTTTTTTATTCATCCATCCAATCCCACTTCCCAGAAACAGAAAAGGGGGAAGAAAAATGACCTGTTTGGATGATTATAGTAATCCTCAGATAAGAGGGAACTTCTCTGTTCTCAGCCACCCTATAACAGTAACCATAGGCATCTTCTTGTTTTCTGTCATTGAGAGGTTCTTGATCACAGTTTTGAATTGACTTCTTTAGGAGATAAATGGTTTTGAAGTAGTGAGCACATACAGGGAAAGATATNAAATGGGGAGCAAAATGCTTATGGTGGTTTTATCCTCCCCGAGTCTGTTAGGGTGGGAGGTCAGATTCTGTGTTTGGGATCCCCTTTCTTTCTTTCTTCTTATCTCCCAGACTTTTTTTTTGTTCCCTCTAGGATACTTTCCTAGTAGAGAAATTTATTCCCTTTACTCTTTTGTGTTTTCTATTGTAAAAGTTCTGTTTTTTATTCATCCATCCAATCCCACTTCCCAGAAACAGAAAAGGGGGAAGAAAAATGACCTGTTTGGATGATTATAGTAATCCTCAGATAAGAGGGAACTTCTCTGTTCTCAGCCACCCTATAATAGTAACCATAGGCATCTTCTTGCTTTCTGTCATTGAGAGGTTCTTGATCATAGTTTTGAATTGACTTCTTTAGGAGATAAATGGTTTTGAAGTAGTGAGCACATACAGGGAAAGATATAAAGTTGCTCTCGTATTGGCTAAAGTAGGATGTGTAAGAGTACATCCTACTTTGGTGGAGTGGCCCCTCAAGTACATAAACCTATTTGGTGGTCATAATTATTTGAATGTGAAATAGAGGCTCTCTTAACACCCTCCTTCCCATGGGACCCAGGCTCGCACATTAGGTCAACAAACAAACAAACAAATAAATATGCATACCGGGAAATTCAAATGGGTAAGAGACTTCGTCCACTGACCACTCAAAGCCCAACTATGATAACATGTTAGAGCATCCAACCCAAAACCAATTGGCTATAGTTGGAGTGGCCCCTCAAGTATATAAATTGACCTTGATGGGCGTAATTGTTCGATGTGCAAGCTCTCTTAACAGGATGTTCGAAAATTTATTGACTCATGACAAACAACATTATTAGCTTACTAATGATATGCCATTCTGTATATTCTCTCCATATTCCATAATGTCCTTGCATTGGATGTAATGGGAATTTTCATGTCAATTTTTGTGAGTGTTAAGCTTTAAGCTGCAAGGCGTCAGATGTGGTCACATAATCAAGTGATCAACGCGTCAAATTTGATTTTCTTGTATTTGGAAATACATTGAATCTTTAGGCTTGAAATTTTCAGTAAACCTCTTGTTTATCTTCCCTTTTTGGACCTTTAGAGGAACCCACTTTTAGTGGTGGCCATCGATTTCCTGATGGATTCAGGTATGGCATTCCTTCCTAATCGTGGTTGCTTGTATTGTTTAGTTTCCTGAATGTTATTCTATTCTACCCCATAATTGTGCTGGCTTGTTTGGTTTCTAATTAATATTTAGCAATGAATGGTGAACAAATCATGATGTTCTGCATTTGTTATCGGCTCTTTCACTATTGAGATTGTCCTGTGAAATTGAGATACGTGCCGTGATGTCTTACATTCACATTGTTGTTCTGATTACTATATTTATTGTTTCACTAGGTCTGCCGAAGAACTGGAGATCCAAATAAGTTCATGTTCTGCAAACGTTGCGATGCTGCATATCATTGTTACTGCCAGCAGCCTCCACACAAGGTGTTTTGTCAATCTCTCACAATGAATTCTAAACCCCTAACCCCTCCCCTATCCCAAGATTCCATGTTAGCACTGAAACAATTCTGCTACAGTGTTTTTGGCCACAAAGTGGGGCTTTGGTAACTTTTTTCTCCATTACTTACCTGTTATTTAATTTTGGTTTGTGCAGAATGTTAGCAGTGGACCTTATTTATGCCCGAAACATACAAGGTGCCATAGCTGTGGATCTAATGTCCCAGGAAATGGTCTTAGCGTAAGGTATAGTTTGTTAGCAGTGACTAATTTAGAGCTTTTGCGATTCCGGATAAAGATTATGACTTTTGTGACATGTACTCTTAATATGATACGGTGATTTCTGGATGGTTGTTTTTCCTTTTGTTGCTAATAAGCTTCTTAATTTGTTACTTATTGATGTCTGAAATGTTCGAGAAATTGGAATTTCCATTATTGGTCCTCTCGTCATCGTGCTTATATGTGGATAGTTTACCTGCATTTTGTGTCAGGGAGACCACATCTTGGAATTTCATTTGTTTTTTGTAACTTCGATGAAGCTAAGTTGAATTGTTTGGATTATTTAATTTTTGGTAGCTATTGACTTTGGTCCACCTTCTGTGTTTCTTGAACCTGGATGCTTCATTCAATTGACAAGCAAGTTTCGTGCAGAGCTGTAAAGCATTTCTGTAATATTTCTGCTGGTGATTGTATGTTGATGGAATTTAGTTCAGTTCTTGTCAAAATGTTGACTCTGTAATTCTGCTGTTAATTTTTGGAGCTTGATGCCTAATGATGACATTGTAAAGTATTCTTGGTTTAGATGATGAAGTTGGTCATGGATGATTGTTGGAAAGAAATTAGTGTCATCCATTTCTGCTGGTACTTTATTCTTATAATTGATTAAATGGCATTCCTGGGATGTCAGGAAGATCTCATCCCAAGAGTNTTGGTCATGGATGATTGTTGGAAAGAAATTAGTGTCATCCATTTCTGCTGGTACTTTGTTCTTATAATTGATTAAATGGCATTCCTGGGATGTCAGGAAGATCTCATCCCAAGAGTGACTTATGCTGATATGAATTCATGAACAGTTTTTAGTGAGGTTTGCGGCACATAGAAGGAGAAGCTGGTTGGACAATTTTAGCAGAATGAGATGTGAACTCAATAAGGGGCTAATGTAGCAACGTTTGTTAGATAAATTCCAAGGGATGGGAAAGAAATGCCTTTGGACATTCCCGGTTGGAAAGAATTCAACTTTGGTTTTATTTCTTAAAAATTCTTCTTTTTCATCGGTCATTGATGACTGTAGCAGCAATATAAAATGAAGGCTCTTTTTTAGTCATTGATGCCATTGTGATTGTAACAGAAACATAGAACGACTGTTCTATTCTAATTGAGTACTTTTAAAGAACATATCAACTGCCTAGTGGGAGTTGGATTCAATGGCAAATGATCATATCCAGTTTTCATTAGACTAAACAGCTATACTTTTCTTGCTTGAGTAAGGTAGTTTTAGATAGAACTGGGTTGTTGGATTCCTCCCTGGGTTAAGACCCCAATATTAGGTGGGGGCGCTTGATTGTTGCATTGGGACTAGGTTTGATCAAGCAATTTACTTGATCAGCCATGTTGTATCACAGTGAGAACTTGGTTTCTTTAGAATTTTTTCTTGGTGGGGTTTGCATTTCTCAGTAAGAAGAAATTCCTATGTTTAGGTAGGCGATTGGTGTTTTGCAGCTCTGTTCAAATGCAAGATAGTGGGCAGTCTTTTCGTATGATATTGGTACTAACTTAGGAGCTAAGGTGCTGGTGAAAATGGAATTACTTGTCTTATGTGGTTGTGCATTCAAAGAAACTGTGGAGACGGAGAGAAAACATAGAGGGAAATGATCTCTATAGAGGGAGAAACATGAGAGAACAGGAATTTTCTGCCGGAGTGGTTAAAGTAGGCAGCATGAAGCATGGATACTTCGACCGGAGTGACGTATCCGTGTCCGATACTTATCGAATACCAATACTCGTCAGATAAGTGTCAGATACTTTTTACATGTATCTAATAATTAATGAAATATTTATAATTGTTGGATACTTGTCGGATATGCATATCTCCACGATGGATACAATTTCCATCTATTTGGTGAGGTGGATTGTGTAGAAACCATTAATCATATAAATGTAGATTCTTTGTTCTAAGATGTTCATTTGGACGTGCATCACATATGTCATAAGTTTTGTCAATTCTTTACAATTTTTTTAGCCTAAATAATGAGTTTTTATGGCTTATGGTAAAGCTAATGAAGTGTGCAATTAAATGCTAAGTGAGAGTTGAGATCAATCGAAGGGTGACACATGTTCGGTTTTAGTATTACATAAAACATTGGATTCAAAACACCATTAAGCAGTCCATATGTTAGCAACATAAATTGTTGTAGTTTGGACTTGTTTTATTTCTTAATCCCTCATATTCCTAATATTGTAATAACATCCTATANAAGCAGTCCATATGTTAGCAACATAAATTGTTGTAGTTTGGACTTGTTTTATTTCTTGATCCCTCATATTCCTAATATTGTAATAACATCCTATAATATATATATATATATATATNGGATTCAAAACACCATTAAGCAGTCCATATGTTAGCAACATAAATTGTTGTAGTTTGGACTTGTTTTATTTCTTAATCCCTCATATTCCTAATATTGTAATAACATCCTATAATATATATATATATAGACGTATCCTAACCGTATCCATATCATGTCATACATTTGATTGTTCCTAGTGAGCACTTTTGAAAGACTACTTACAACAAGAGGCAGATGTACCATGCCTGAATGTGGGGAAGGTCTTTTTGAGAACAAGTTGAAGATGGAATAGTAATTACTATCAGAGATGAGCTATAGAATGCACAATCAGAATGCGTGCCAAATCTTTAATGTTTTACCTTTGATGAACTATTATTGTGCTATTGATTGAACGGAGCAGCTTGGTTTCTGCATCTCATTTTCCCATCTGAGATCCGTATGTGTTGGTTGCTTGAAGGATTTCAAGGCTTTTGAAAGCTGTCCAGTGGTTTTATTTGCACATTCTAGCTGGCCTATTTTAACTTCATCTTTATATGATCTTGTTTATTTTTTCTAATTTATTTATTTTTGGCTGTATCTTATTAGCATTGTGAACATTTGGCCATTGTTTGGTTCTTTCTCTGCAATTCTTGTTTGTAGTATTTCATCCATTTCCATTTGACTGCACTTTTTCTGCAAATGGGCCAGTTCCCCCCCCCCCCCCCCCCCCC